ATTTTGAAACTTTAAATGTTTATATCTAATAAGCTAATAAAGTTATATTAAAAATTCAAATGCCATTTACTATTAAATTAAAAACTCAAACATTTTATTAAATTAAAAATATGTGTTACCATTTAAAAAAACAAAGTTGACTCCCCTCCAAGGCATAAGGGATGAACTTAAAAATTATTACATAGTTAAAAATTCAAGAATAATGTGTAACTAAAAATAATAAAAAAAAAAATGTTTAAATTATTATTATTCTGCAAGTAATTGAGTGGGTTATGATAAAAAAATCACCCTGTACTGGACCCTACTATGCAATGTCTCCACTATGCTGCGACCCCACTGTGCTACCGTTTTGTTTAATTAAAAGAGATGGACATATTTTATTTAATACCATAAATAACTGTAAAACTTATAAGCCTGCAAAATATGCATTTATGTTAATTCTAAGAGATATGAATGTAAATTGATTGCAACCAAAAGCATATTTTTTGATGTACAATTCATATACTAGTTAAAACAAAAGATAATTTTTTTCTTTCTTTTATATTTTTTAATTTACTATAGTTAATTTACCTATGACTCATTATTGACTATGTTGAGTTTTATTTAAATTATTTACTACTAAATATATAATAAAACCATCAAGTATTAATGATATTTACTTAAATATATCCTTTTATACGCTAAAAAATAATTCAAAATTAATTAAATTAATTAAAAAACACAGAAAAATGTGCCCAGGAGATACATTTTTTGAAGTATGAATATTATTAACATATTAGCATTCTGTAGCAGATTATATAAAATCGAATTATTTAATCTGTAATAGAGTTAAAAAGACTGATCTAGGTAAATTAAATGTGATCAAAAAGTTTACCAATAAATATTACATTAAAGCAACACTTATTGACTCTCATGTATAACACGCATAACCAAATATTCGAAACAAAAATTATAGTAAAAGATGCTATTTAATAAATTTAATTCTTATATATAGTGTAACTGCATTGAGGCAGGTTCGAGTAACCAGTAAATCACAAAATGGACCATCTGGTTTTATCTTATCTGTGATAATAGTTTTTCAGTTACGCATCAAAGCTAGAACTAAGTCAAGGTTAACAAAATAAATTTAAATTTAAGAATACAGATTAATCTGTTTATCATAAACCACCCAATAACTCGCAGAATATAAAAAATATTATATTTTGATCTCGAAAAATTAGCTAGTAATACTTTTTAATTTCATCCCTTATATCTTAAAACTTTTTTCCCAGTGTAGACATATAGTTTTAATTTTTTTTAATTAATAAAAGTTTATTATTTATATTTTATAGCTTATATATTAAAATGATTAATTAATAATAATTAATCAAGTTTTTAATTTTATAATCAATATAATTTTAATAAAAATTTACATAACCTTTTTTAAGTTTTTTTTCTACTTCAGTGTATTTTTTATTTAACTTGTTTTTGACGCACATTTCTATTTTCGTTTTGCGAATTTGATAATTATCATTCAATTTCTGTAAGCGTGATTTCTCATAAAACTTTATATTAGTTAAATCTACAGCAATTTCATAATCTTCACACTAAATAAATTATTATTTTATAACAATTACAAAAATAATTAAGATAAATCAAAATATACCTCTTTTAAAATGTTTTTTTTAGATTTTTCCATTGTTTTTTCTTTTAGAGGGTGTGTTTTAGCATGGTTTATTTTTAATTTGTTTTCTCTAGAAATATCTGAAAATGATGTGTTAATTTTAATGTAATATTATTGTTATCACTTATAAAATTAGAATATTATATTATGTTATCTTTTATACATGTATGTCATATATTATGAATTCACAAGATCACCAATACAGAGTTCCCTTATTTAAGATAATATAATCAATAAACTAGGGAATTAAAACTGATTATTGTACAGATTCAAAGTAACCCTTATAAGTTTATAAAGTTTCCAAGATCACACTAGGGATCGCTACACGACCCTCGTCTACTATAAAAACCCATTTTTTTCTTATTAAAACCAGTTTTATTCGATGATTTCAAAATACACAAAATCTGCGACACTCTACTCAAAATTCTTACTCTCTGGAACTTAGTTTTTTTGCTATTTAATTTGGACTTTAAATTGGACTAAATAATGATGTTTTATTTTTTTTATTTTATCATGGAAATAAATATTAATTAATATTTTAGACCTCAAACATTCTAAAATTATTTTATTTTTATAATAAACCCAAATCAACTTTAACTATTCATTTAATGGTAAATATTTATTATGAGTTAAAGGTTACAATTATTTCAGATTTAAACTAATTTAATAATATTGTTATTTGACCAAGTGTATTGCAACTTTATACTTACTGGGTAGCTAGTCATTGAGTTTAATGTCTTTGTTCTAACGGACATCGTACCGGAAGACAGCACAGAGAAACTTATGAATATATTTTTTTTTATTGTTTAATTTTTGTCTTGGTGATTATTGTGCCGCATCCTTTCAAGGCGCTAGCGCCGGGACACATTGGTCCACCACAATTCCGCCTTGATAAATCTTTTACACAGATATTAGTATATTTAAATCTTCTTTTGGTCAGGCCAGAGGAATATTTGAAAAATATTTCAATAATATATACTCTCACAAAAGTATACTTATTCAACAGAATCAAATAAGGGTACATTATTGAATTATATTTATAATAAAAACATAGAATGTGTAGAATCTCTTACATATAAATAAACAGTCATAGATTTTGTGTAACGGTTTCGTATTATTTATAATTAAACGTTATTTTTGGAACGGTCATATTAACTGTATAACGCGTAGTGTATAACGTGCGAAACACAGTGTGAATTCATAATTAACATTGGATTGTTTGAAATAATCGTTACATTACATGGGACACGAGGTAAGTACACATTTAAATTTTTGTTTTCAAACCAATATTTTTATTTTATCTTTTCTTTTTGGGTTATTACATTAAACTCTATACACAGCACTAAGAAATGTCAAGAAATAACAATAACAACTTAATTAGATAATTTTTTTAATATATGAAATTATTAAGATTAAGCTTGTAAAATTTCAATGTTGGTTTGATTGGCATAAGGGATAAATCAAATAACTTAAAATAATTCTCAATACTTTTATTTTGCAATATTTACTCATATAGAGGTTCGTGATAGCAAAATTGTACAGTTTCACATAGACTTTAAAAGAAATTATATTAAATATAAATTTATTTTTTCTAAAATAATTTTGCCACCGTTCCTCGTAAATAGTGAAAACCCTCCCAAAAATTACAATTTTTAAAACCGGTAAATTTTGACATTTTTTGAACTTTTTTTTCTAAAAATTGCCATAACTTTTTGAAAAATGAAAATAATAATTTTTTATATTGAAACCATAGATATTATTTTTTCATTTGATATGAATTTTTTGAAAATCTGACCATTTATCTGCCCACAGAGGGGGATTAAAAACAGAAACTTATACTCAAAAATTTAACTTTTTCAACTTAAGTTCCGAAAATACTCCGAGCTTCAAACATGTTAAAATAAAGATAATGTTAGACACTGTGCCGCGACCCCACTATGCTTACCGTTTTATATTATTGCTTTGTTCAGAAATAATTATTTTTTGACTTAAAGACTAATGTTTTAGGTTTATTTCATATCTTTAAAATGGTATCAAAATTATATTATTCAATAGCATTATTAATATTTTATAAATTAAGGTTAGAAAATGATTCAACTAAGTAAATAACAGTCTGACAGCAACTTTGAACTAGTATTTAATTTAAGTTAACAATTAAAATAAAGACTGGAGGTGATGTATGGTTTATGTTATTTTTATCATTATGCATCAATCTGCCACATTTCTCCTCACACGAGTATAATAATATACTCGTCAAAAAAAGAACATTTATTGAAATTAAATATTAATAGATTAAAAAATTCACTTGAATTTTTTCCATATTAATTATTTATTTTCCAAAAGATTTATTTTAAATTATGTACATAATTAATGAATATATACTTGACAACCATACCTATTGCGTCGTGTTATCGTAATATCTAGCGTGATAAATGATAAATCTTAGAAGTCTTAAAATTGAAATTGTGACTTGGAGTCATGATAACAAGTTTTAATATCATCAAAGTACAAAGTTATGAAATTTATTAATAAAACTCATATTGATTTATGAATTTTGTTAAAAAATATTGTTTCTATAGTGTTTGAAAATAGATAATATTTACATATCTACCTATTAGACACTAAATAAATTAATTGTTTAATAATATACGTTATCTTATTATTTAATAAAACAAGGAAAAAATTGTCAACACTTTAAAAACTATTTAATAATCAATAATTTTCAATTTCTTCTTTTTATTTTTTTAATAAAAGATCTTGGTAACATTACTCTCAAAAAATTATTTTCGAAAATCAGTATTTTTATTTAGCACCCATAGTGCCAACGAGATTTTGTTATGATTTTCTCATTGGTGATGTCTGGTCTTAAGTCCAAGCCGGTCATAATACCTGTCCCATCCATCACTGGCCTAGCCAAGAATCATCTTGTGAAAGAAGGCCACCATCCTTTCTAGCATGTTAAATTTCGGGATATAGATGGTTATAAAATAATGGTGTGTTTAAAAATATATACTCTGTTTTGTTTGTGAACGGGTCACATAAAATTAATTAAAATATTTGCATAGTTTTATACGTATATAATTATTATTGTTATTGAAAAACATATTTTCACACAATGATTTTTTTTTTTAGTAAACTATTTAATTTTGTAATAATTATTTGATGATATGTAAATTATTATTCTATAAAACCATTAGGTAGTTAAAAAATCTTGAAAATGTGCATTAATTATATGTATGTAATTTATACAGCTCGTATAACTTCACTTGATCTTCTAGTGTCGATAATCGCAGTAAGTTTATTTAGAACTAGGAGGTAGATTTTTAATAAATAAAAATATGTAATTGACATTGTTTTGTTTTAATAACAAATTAAATACTTTATAATTAATCCAAGGTCACATTTGTCATGACATCTCTTGATATTGTATTAATTTATTTATATACAAACCCTTAAATGATTAATTTTTGTATTATTATAATGTATTATTTTCTTCAATAAGAGTTCTGTAACAAATTAAAAATTACGTAGTCATTTTCCTAAAGAGTTATATTATTATCATTATTACCTATATATATTAGGCTGGTCCTTATTTTTCAACTTTATAATAAATTGTGCGGCACCCCCTAATTTTGTTTATTTTTAGATAATAATGATTTTTGTTGAGTTTCGTAAGATTTACTTACCCCCTTCGGGTGCCGAATGAAGGTTGAAAATCCACTGAATAGGGTGGTTTTTTAGTTTTCGGCTAATATCTCAACAACAAAAGCTCAAAACGAAAAATTGTATAGAATAAAAATTATAGACCTTAATATTTTCTATATAAATTGTATCTTTACAAATTCTCGTAGGTTGATTTTTTTCCTCGCCAGGACGAAAACAAAAAAATATTTGAATAGTTCGGTACATCAAACAATTATAAAAGTATTTACGTTTACAGGGACAACTGATTATAATATATACAAAATAAATCATAAAAAGATTATAAAATATACTCTATAATATAAGTTTAAAAAAATGCATTTTATAAATAAGCATACTAAGGTGTCAATGAAAGTACTAGTTTTTCTTTACATAATTGACATTTAAACATGTTGTGAATATCTAGTTTATTTATTGCTGAAATTTTCCAATTTTTTGTCACTAAGCAAGATTATTGTGTTCATTGTTGCACTTTAGACCTTTTACATTATTTGATAATGATCACAATAACTGGAAAATTTTGATAAGTTTGGCTACTTTAGTAATACGATCAATTTATTATCTAATCATTCGCCACTTTTATTTACAACTTGTTTTTTTTACTCGTTTGTTCCGCGGTTCATGCGTTTTGGTATTGTTTAGTGTTTTTTATTTATTCATTTATTCAGCTTAATTAATTTTTTTGAGATATTTGAAAATGACGCGAGAATTTATTTATTTAATTGGCCCAACTAATATTCAAATTCTTGGCAGCAAATTACCCTCCATAGGTGACTGTATGTGTGTATTATTTTCTAACATGCGTTTTGCCAAAATGACGTTGTCTGAAAGTTGTCTACTAGTAATAGAGGAATGTTTAATTTTTTGGAGAAAAGCACGGATTCCAACAAAAGATAAATCACACTGTGTAAAAAAGTTGAAAAAGGAATATGACGCTTGGAGGGCACTGGAAAAAAGTAAAAACCATGGAAGCGAACATCAAAAAAATAAAGAAAAAAATTATATAGAAAGTCTAAATAATCTTTTCGATATTGCTCATCAAGATGCACTAAATATAATAAGTATTGCAGAAGATAGAAAATTTTTGCTCTCACAGAGACTCCCCGGACGCCCCGGTTGTATGCTTGGTGTAGATATGGTTCTTGATGCTAAAGAAAAAAGAAAAGAAAAAAAAATTGAAAAAAAATTGAATAAAAAAAGAAAACATGAATCAGAAGTCTTAAAGTTATTCTCAGGTAATTTAAGATATAACATAATTAAAATATTCAAATTAGATACACGTGATTTTTAATTTTATTTATTGGTATCGTTTTAGTTGAAACACTGTCAGATAGGTCTTACTGACCTAAGTTCGGAGGAGTTGAACAATGAAAACCTGATTTTAGAAGAACCTCAACCAGGTCCTTCTGGTACAAATAGAGGCACAATTCAGTTAATTACACCTAGATTATCAGCTGCATTAGACAAATGCAAAATTAGCGACCGTGATGCCGTTCATATACTATCTGCGTGCCTTGATAGTTTATCCATCGATCAAAATAATTACATTTTAAATAGAACATCCATTAAAAATATTCGGCAACATTTTCGGAAGGAAAGCGCAGATAAGGTAAAGTCTGATTTTTTAAACAAAAAAGTTAATTTTGTGGTAGTTCACTGGGATGGTAAATTACTACCCGATTTGACTGGTCAAGACAAAGTAGATCGTCTACCAGTAATTATAACTAGCCCTGATTTAGAGCAGTTACTTGGTGTCCCTCAAATACCATCTGGAACAGGGCTAGAAATATCATCTGCAGTATATGATAACCTTGCAAAGTGGTCTTTATTGGACAAAGTTCAAGCATTTGTATTCGATACAACAGCATCGAATACTGGGCGTATAAACGGGGCTTGTACACTTTTAGAACAAAAGTTAGATAGGGATATTTTATATCTTGCATGCCGCCACCATGTTTACGAGTTGCTTCTCCAAACTGCAATTGCTGAAACGAAACTTCATGTATCATCAGGCCCAGATATTGCCCTATTTAAAAGATTTAAAAGTACTTGGAATAATATTAATACTAAGAATATTAGCATTTGGAATACAAATAAAAATTTGGAAAATATTGTATCTCCTAAACGCGAAAACATTTTATTATTTTGTCAGGAGGCGATTTTGAAAAAACATCCTAGAAATGACTATAAAGAGTTTTTAGAGCTTGTAATTATAATTCTAGGAGGATCACCACCAGGAGGTATTATTATTAGGCAACCTGGGGCTTATCATCAAGCAAGATGGATGGCTAAAGGCATTTATTGTTTGAAAATTTTTTTACTTCAACAAGAATTCAAATTATCCAAGTCGGAAGAGACTGCAATATGCAGAATATGTGCATTTATTATAAAAATTTATATAAGGCCGTGGTCTATGGCTGACCAATCATGTGAAGCGCCACTAAACGATATGCACTTAATAAGGACTCTATATGAATATAAAAATGATGATAAAATTATTGCAGATTCGTGTTTAAAAAAATTTTTAAATCATTTGTGGTACTTTAATCAAGAATGTATTGTTTTTTCAATATTTGATAATAGAGTTTCGTTAGAAACCCGAAATAAAATGGCAAAAATTATTTTAAATAATTTATCTACTTACCCATCAGATCAAAGCGATTTTGGTCCAAAAAAATATTTTTTAAAAATAGATAATGTGGAGACGTTTCTGAAACAAGAGTTTTTTACAGATATGCTTGAACAAAGTTCGGGATATTTTTTTATAAGATTTAATATCGATACAGAATTTTTGAAATTAGACTCCTCGAATTGGGAAGGTGATAAGTATTACCAAGAAGCGAAAAAAATAGTTAAATCAATCCGTGTTGTAAATGACACTGCTGAAAGGGGTGTGAAATTGATGGAGGAGTTCAATGATAAACTAACGAAAAATGAAGCACAAAAACAATTTATACTTCAAGTAAATTGCAATAAAATATATAGAACGGATTGCTAAATTACTAATTTATACTTAACATGTTTTAGGTCGTTCAGAAATATCGAAAAGTTTTTCCAGATCACAAAAAAAAATCGATGACAGCAACATTCTAATTTAAATGTCAATTATGTAAAGAAAAACTAGTACTTTCATTGACACCTTAGTATGCTTATTTATAAAATGCATTTTTTTAAACTTATATTATAGAGTATATTTTATAATCTTTTTATGATTTATTTTGTATATATTATAATCAGTTGTCCCTGTAAACGTAAATACTTTTATAATTGTTTGATGTACCGAACTATTCAAATATTTTTTTGTTTTTGTCCTGGCGAGGAAAAAAATCAACCTACGAGAATTTGTAAAGATACAATTTATATAGAAAATATTAAGGTCTATAATTTTTATTCTATACAATTTTTCGTTTTGAGCTTTTGTTGTTGAGATATTAGCCGAAAACTAAAAAACCACCCTATTCAGTGGATTTTCAACCTTCATTCGGCACCCGAAGGGGGTAAGTAAATCTTACGAAACTCAACAAAAATCATTATTATCTAAAAATAAACAAAATTAGGGGGTGCCGCTATGTTTTGTTCAATTTTTTTTTTTAGCCTTAGTAGATAAAGACCAGCCTAATATATATATTTTAACTGAGAGTTAAATAGAATCTATTTAATTTTTGAAGATCTAAAAATTAACTTTTAAGTATAACAACCACAAAAGCGTGTTAGTTTTCGAAAATGTCAAAATTATTTACATAACAATTACTCCGTTTTCACATTTATCCAGATAAACGCATCGCTTGAGTTACAAAAATAAATTTTTAGTCTCGAGATTCCATTAGATAGTAAATCTATTCATTTTCAAATGAATAATGTTTAATATTAAGAGATTAAAATTTAATAGATTGGGATAAACAATTTTTTGACGAATGTATCAATACTGCCGTTATTGAATGTTACAAAGTTTTGAGAAATATAATTCTAAGAAACATACCTCAGTATTATATCAGAAAAAAAATGTCCATCGTGGTTTAGTGTTGAACTTATATTTTAACTGAAATATGATTTAAAAAAAGTGTAACTCATAAAAATTATAAATTATTAATAAATTTAATTTAAAAGCTAAAATTAAAAATGTATGACTAAAATTTTTTAAAAATTTCAGATTTAAAAAAAAAAAACTCTCATAGCTGCCATCTTTTATCAATTTAGACTTGTTTTTAAAATTTTAGGATTGCCCACAGACACACGAGAAGTACCCTGAAAATTTTATTGATATCCGTTTGTTTTATGACTGAGTTATGGTCTCTTTTTTAAGCCCACGTGCATAGTTTTTATTCGAACACCGTTTTATTTCGTTCGTTTTCATCATTCTCATTGCAATTTTATGTATACTTTATTTTTAGTTTACTGACAAACAAATAAAACCGTATTTAGAAATTATATTTTTGTCCCTGTGGATAAGGGATAAGAATACTTCCCCGGCCCCTCTGCCAGTCGTAAGAGGCGACTAATGAGGTTGTATCAGATCGACAGCCGACGTAAAAATCTTTTGTCAAAAAAGTATGAGGAATCCTGAATAGAACTTAGGCGGATTGTCCCATCTCAGATGTACGCAGGGACAACAGAAAGTAGTTAAAAATGGAGAAGGCCTAAGGAATAAAGTGTTTGATACCAGCCGGACAACTTGCGCGGTAGCTGTTTCACCAGTCATGTGTATAGATCTTCCCAACGCTTGTAGTGTCAACGGTGTAGGGACATCACAACTTTACTCTAGGCTGGACTCGTGTATAAGGGAGAAAGATAGATACAAAGTAAGAATAGGTACTTGGAATGTTGGAACATTAACTTATAAAGTAGAGAATTAGTAGAAGTATTGATGAGGAGAAAAGTTAACATTTGTTGTGTGCAGAAAACTATGTGGAAAGGAGAGAAATCAAGGGAAATAGTTTAATTTATTCTTTTTGATATTTACTCATTTTAATGTGGTTACTTTATTATTGTTGTACTTTTCTGTGCAAAACACATATCATGCATAGAGGGTACACCAACTGGAATCTGTGACCATTCTGAAAAAATGACTATAACCCCAAACTATATTAATTATTATTATTACATGAGTTAATTTTGAACTTACATAGCATGTATCAATTTTATTAAGATTCATTATTTTGTTGAAATTCCTAATAATTTATAGTTATATTCAAAGAAGCTAAATGTTATATTGTTATATTTTAAATAAATATTTGGTTAAAATTCAGAGTTTAATGTTTTTGTATCAAATACAAAAATAATAAATTTTTTTAAATTTTTTGATTAATATTTCTCGTAACAAATATTCACCTGACTTAATTTTTTTTAAATACTTTTAAAATGGATTTGTTTGTCAGCTAAATGTGATTCAATTCTGTTTAAATCGGGTTTTACGTAGGTCTATTCCATAAATTTTTTGAAAATATTTGTAGTCATTTTAAAAGATTTATTCATATATTTATTTTAATAATCACAAGAAGTCAACCTTCAGACAATAGTTATTTTGTGACCTGTAGATTTTGTAATTTTGATAATCTAAATACCAACTAGTCCATTAATTAACGATTGCTCCTCTCTTTCTTAAAAAGAAGGACAATAGAAAAATTGAAAATAGAATAGAAAAATATTTATAAACTATTTTTAAGAAAAATTATAACAAAATTGCATAATTAAATTGCACAAAAAAACTATTTACAGTAAGGAAAAATATACAAAATGGATAGAAATGAGATTATATTAATCATTTAATTGGCATAATAATGCTACCCCACGATAGATCCAGTGTGAAGCACTTTTATCAGTATTTAACAACATTGGTAAAACATAATTTGTTGAATGACCAGTGGTAGATAGTATGCCTTTTCTTTCTGATGTTTTATAAATAGGACAAACATATCTATAATTTTCCACCAACTCATTTTTTCTAATAGGAATAAACCATACTAAAGGTAAAATATCCGTTAAAATTTTTGGATATTGTTCTTCAAGCACCATTCTAAAAGAAAATTAAAGTAATTTAAGTAAATAAAATATTATAACATATAATTCATTTTAAAGATTGTGAACCTAAATTGATTCATAATCGATTTGAGCATTAAAAATTGCTAATGTAAATTAAAATTATTACAAATGCAAAAGGATTTGATAAAAAGGATTGGAAATATTAATAGTTATGGAGTAAACAATATGAATATATTATACTAATAAAATAAAATTTCTATCAAATGGAGTAAACATGGACGAAAATATGCCCATGTTAGCTAATTATAATAAATTTTTGTTAATACTTGGATCTATCCCATCTTGCACCATCTAAAAATAATCCGTAGCAGTAAACTCCATCTTCAGGTACTTTATTTATCCTGTCTGTTTTCTGAACTTGAAAATCAAAACATAATTGATCTATTGGAATTTGATACCGTCGAGCAAAATTTTGCATGGTACCCGTTAAAAATGCTTGAGTGAAAAAAAATCCACTCAACCAAAAATTATTTGGTTTACCATTCTCATACCAATTCTGTAATAAATTTGGTTTAAATATTTTTGATATTAAAAAAGACTATTTAATGATATTAGTAAAGTAATGGAGTGTACTATGGAAAACAGTCTAAATATTATTACTAGGTTAGTTTTATAAAAAGCTATGATAAGAGGGTACTAATGAGCGATGATGTGAAAAAAGGTGAAAAGTATATTTTAAAAAATTGCAGAATGAAGAGTATCCAAGAGAAACATTAGAGGATATTTTATGGAAAAAAAGACTGGTATATTTAATTGGTGAGAGATATGGGATTTTGTGGAGAACATGAGGTAAGTAAAATGAGGAGTTCAGCGACAATAGGCGAGGACGTGATAGGAGAAGTGTAAAGTTTCAAGTATTTAGGATCAGTTATGCAAAAGAGTGGTGGTATTGACAAGGATGTAAGACACAGGATTAAGTGAGGGTGGTTGAAGTGGAGAGAAGCGTCTGGTGTCTTATGCGATAAAAGAATTCCAATGAGGCTGAAAGGTAAATTCTACAAGACTGTAGTGAGGCCAGCTATGATGTAACTATGTTTAGGATAAGGGTGACCTGGGAGTTGAGAAATGGCGAAGAAAAAGAAGATAAATGGGACATAATGTGTACAATTGAAAACATCAGATACTATTTTGTTCTGAAGTTGAGCTATACTTTTTCCTATTAGTTGTAGCTATTGGGTTACTACACGTCAACATTAACGGTAGAAAAAAGACATTGGTAAACTACTTAAATAATCATTTGTCTGCTACATAAATCTAATCTTTATAATAAACTGATATTGACCAACTTAACAATTGAAAAATAAAACTATAATAATATACAATCTTAAACTCTAAAAATAATTTAAAACTAAAAAAAATATTATAAATAGTAAAATGGCTTTCCGAGATATGAAAGTGGAAGATTTTACTAAAAACTAGAGCTTATCAGCAACTAGTATGATCATTGCAATTTACATTACGCGTTTGTTTAAAATTTTTTTGTGTTATCTACAAAAATGGAAATTAGTAACATTTAGTAAAAATCTAGTTATCTCTTATTTAAACTAGTGATCAAATTAATTAATTATTGGGTAAATTCCAAAAAAGTAAACTTATTTTGTTTATAAATCAAATTTACAAGAAATATTTAACCTAAGAAATTAAAAGGACAAGCTTTTCAAATTAGCAAAAAATGAAAAGAAATTTGTATCTTTTTTATCCTCTTGAAGCTTATGTTATTTCAATGTGTAGAGTTCATATATAGTTTGTTATTAAAATAATAAATGATATATTTACTTGAAAAAATTGTAGTCTCTCCAATAAGTTTTTAACATAGCCTGCTAATGATTTTAAACTTGGATATGAATATTTAGACCATAACATTGGATATTTGGAAATTGCTAATGATGAAGCCATAGTTTCTAATTCAGGTGTCATTACAATGGCACCCTTAATAGCTTTCGAAAGATCGTGCAAGCTTTTGCGAACTACAGATAAAAGTGTATTAAAGCGTTCCATTTCTTGAATAAGAACTGTATTCATTGACTCCTTATACATAACTGGATATTTATTTCCAGCAGTCTCTATGTCAAAATTTTCAGGGAGCTTCGATAATATATCCATTATAATTGCCATCAATAAATTATCCATAGAATCATTTTCATCTGCACCACTAACGCCAGTTTCAGTCACTGACATTAATGAATTAAAAAGTTGCATCGAAGTTTGTAAATCTTGGGTAATACCTGAATTCATATGTAGTCCAAAAACTTCTGGATTAGGAGTTTTGGGAATTTCCTAGTTTTACCAATTAAAAATAATTTTTAAAATAATGTTTTATATGTTAAATTATATATTTTTCTTAACCTCAATTTTTTTAATAAAATCATGATAGTTATTTCGAAAAGGTATGCCATATTTGGTGCTCAAAGGGCAAAACAGATAATTAGGATCTGCGACAACTTCAGGACAACAAAAAATATTTAATATAGTTTTCATAGTTCGTCTATCCCAATCGTCAGTTACCCGGCCACCATAATTACACTCTCCTATTAAATATGTTATTGCATCGAATGGAATATCCTCAAATTCATTTATGTACATCTATTAAGTTCATTAACAATAATATTATCATACATATATGATATTTTAAGTATCTTTTTTACTTGAAGTTGCAGTATTGAAATATTATAATCTGATTCATTGAAGCCATATGGTATATTCCAACCAATAGCTCCAAATTTTTTTCTTTCTTGTACTACAGCGTGGAAGAATGTAATACCATAGAGCAATTTAGTAAATGGTCGTTCTTTACTTGGACAACCTTCAAAAAATTCTTGATTTTTAACAGGGTGTGATTGGTAGTTTCGAAGCATATTTGCTTGTAATCCCATAGGAGGTTCATTAGTCATTTTTACACCATTTTCAAGAACAGATACTGGAAACTAAAAAAATAAATACAGAACTTTATATGTCATGAATTAATTTTAAAAAATTACTTGTGCTGATGGATAACTAGTTAACCATAGTCTAAATGCACTATTTGTATTAGACATATTTAATGAATTACAAATTAATTCCAATTTCCCCATCCATGAAGTAGCTAGATGACAATTTTGTAAACAAACCCAACCACCAGTTTGCTGTGCGTCTTCAATTAAAGCTGCAGCGATTGGTCCCTAATATTTTAATTTTTTTTAATAACTAGGAAATAATTAATACCTATGTTACTTAAATTAATTTTTTTTAATCATTTACTTGTCCTTGGCCTAGGGAAACACTTTGTAACTTTTCAGATTGGCCTTTTTTTTCAGCAAATTGTAATAAATTAGCCATTGGGTCCACTCCAGGTGAAAGTACAAAGATAAGGGGAGTTAAACAAATAGAATCTCCGTAAGACTTGCTAATATCGAATGGAGGCGGATGTGTAAACTTTTCACCTAGTTCTTTTTCTATTAGCCTTATTATGACTGGTGTGACTTTGTCAGGTCGAATAGTGCGTATAACAAGAATCTTTTGAAAATTACTTAGTTTATCATACCATGGATTTGGAAATTTTGAGTTATGAGGTTCTACTAGATCGTAGTACTCTTTCCATTCATTAATATTTTGAATAAAATGTTCTTTTATACCTATAAAAGATGTTTAATACTATATTTTTTATTTCAACAAAAATATATTAAACAGTTTTAAAATTATATGATTGTTATTATTAATATTTTTTTGTACCTATAAATGAAAAGTTAAAATTTCAATTCTTAAAATTAATAATATGTTAATTTATGTTATTAAAACCAAATGGTTCTATGCCAATATTTTATTTTTTTACAAGAGAGCGTTTTTAAGATTTGTACGTATTTTTTAGTAAAAAAACACATAATTGTATACATTTTTGACATATCATAGTCATCAAAATAAAGAGAATAAGTAAAATATAAAAGATATCAGAATTTTTCCGTATTAAGCACTAAGTTCTACACACAGAATTTTTGATAGAAAATTTATCAACATCTTACATTTATAAATAATAGCTTAATTTTAGAGAAGATTAAGCATATATCCTGTTATATAGTAGTTATTTATGGTGGAAGGTGGAGTAGTGTTCAAAGAATAGTTAAACTGTGGGTACACCAAAAGTGTAATATTTGTAGTACTAATCGGGTAACTAAAAATGTGTGGAAATATAAAACTTTTTGGTTATAAAATAATTGTTAAGAATAAAATATCTTTCTAGAAAATAACTAAATTAACTATTATTTAACTTATGCCTAAATAGAATTATTTAGTTCATTGAATCTCATTTAGTACTTACTCAAATTAATTTATTTATACAAAAAAATTATTAAGGGCTAAATAATTAAAAATAATGTCCAAAAGTAATTTTGGAATAAATCTAACATAGAACCTTTTGGTTTTCATGCTGCGATTTTCTAAAAAAAGATAAATTGATGAATCCTAGAAAAGTATTTAACATAATAATGAATAAAACGTCCAGTCACTTTTTAAAAATGATTTTAAAAATAATGTATGAAGTATACAGTGTGATTTATTAAGTTTACTAAGCCCATTTTTTCGTTAAATTAGGCGTGGTAAGATTATGTGGTCTAAATGCTAAAGAAAAAAAAAATGTTGATTGTTTTACCAAAATGAAAGCCTCAGTTTTCAAGATCATGCTAGGAATCACTAGATCATCCCTTATGACTATAAAAAGCAGTTCTAATGAATAACCTATAAAACCAGTATTAACCTTTAAAATTTACTAGTTCATTTAATCGATATAACTGATCCCAGTTTTTTTCGAGAAGCCAATCACATGGATTATTCTCAGTATTTTTTAGACCAACACCGCCACTTATTAGGAACATAAACTCTTGTTTTTCTATTTTATTCTCAGCCCTGTAATGCAGAAATTGTTTAAATTTAAATTATATTGTATACAGAAAAAAAGTACTTACAGCATTATAGTTGAACACATAATAAACGAGAATAATGTTTTATCTTTTTCAAATAACGAACGACATACATTGGAGTATAAATTGTATGTAAATGTTTCTTTCAATGCTTGTAATCTTACGTTTATAAATTTTGATTTATTTCTAATGACAAAAATTAATTATGTTTTACAACATTAATCCAATTTAAAAATATCAAACATAAGTGAAAATAAAAATATGTTCATTTACGCTGTTTCAATAGTCATTATGTATATGTTTATATACCAAACTAATGAATAATGATACATAGGATCAAGATTAGGTAAATTGGTGATACAATAATAAAGTATTGAACAGTGTTCAGCGATTGGTTTATATTGTAATCTAAATTGATCTATTACTGCAACAGTATCAATTGAAGCTGCTTGTTTTATGGTGATTTCTCTTGCTAATACCTATAATTGTTAGCAAAAACAAAAAGATTAAAATAAATTGAACTATTTTCTATGCATTTTAAAATCTTCTGAACTATTTTGATACCTTAGAATTATCCAATACATCAACTGCATTTTCATCTTCTAATATGTTTCCTGGTGCTGAAAGTATTTGCAAGATGTTATTTTCTACATCTAATAATGCTCTTGTATTTGTAGCGCTTTCGATAATTAACTGTTGTCTTTTAGATTCTAAATCTGGCCTAAAAATACATTAACATTATATGATGTAAAAATACTAAGGTCTATAATTTTTTACTATTATAATGTATAACTTACCGTTCTTTCGCAACAACAATTCCAAGTAATTGATCTTCTAAGCCTTCCACAGTTAAAGCAAAATTAATAATAGTCACTTTATTGAACACTTCTGGTAAGTAATGAGGGTTTCTTAATTTTGACGTTATATAAAGCTTAAATTTCGGATTATAGTCAATAACGTTATCTCCAAGAGCAATATAATAGGAATTTCCTAAAAAATAAGATACAATTAAATAGGTAAAAATAAATTTTTTGTTGCTATAAAAGTTGATCCAAATAGTAATTCTGATTTTTTAAACGAAAGTTCACCTTGTTTGTACATTTGTTTTAATAAAATTGGATCTAACGGTGGATCCAAATCTTCAAGTACGTTTTCAATTAATACTGGTTTTCCGAATTCAATACATATTTCAATATTTTTCATGTAAGTAGGGTCATTTAATTTTACAATGGTTAAATCATTCACTCTTTCCATTGTTTTGATCCATTTATGCGCTTGACCTTGAGGATCAATTAATAGTGACCATCTCTGTGATTCATCCATAATTATGGCATTACTAATTGAAAAAGAATCCATTGGTAGGCTATTAATAGTCCAATTTTGAATTTTAATAGGTACACCTAATACATCGATTAAGCTATAATCGTCTGAACTTGGGATTTGTAGATTTTTACATAACGTTTTCCAAACATTTACTGCCGTAATTCTTAAAATTCAAAATATTACAATCTCTTTTAGCTATATTGAGTTTAAATTAAATGTTTTTAATATTAAAATATTACCGGAACTGTGACGTAAATGGTGCTAAATATGCAATAATACCACATGATATGAGAATGTCACCTGGAATGCAATTATAGTTGTGTTGAAGTTCTTCGGCACGTTGCGCCCAACGATGTTTTTCTCCACCAAGACTACCTAGAATAATTAATTTATCCAAGAATAAAATATAAATTTGTTTATTTATTAAGTACATAATACCTATAAGTTTTTCAGCTTTTAACAATTTGCTCTCACATAATGCTACTTCAGCTAGCAAATTTTCTTTGTTTTTTTCAGTTTCCTCTAAACGTTCTTTTAAAGAGTCTAATTTTTCTTGTAGTTGTTGTACTTGCTTTCTTTTTTCTTCGAGAATTGCCATTGTTGCTTCGTATTCAGCATTAGCTATTTCCAGTTTTTCTTTTTTTGGTGCAACTATTTTTATTACTTGATCATATTTATCTAATGCTATTATCCATTTGCATAAGCCTTCGGCTGCACTCGAAGCTTTAGCCACAATATGTGGTTTAAAATTTTTGTCTGGTAAATAGGTTTTTCGAATGACAGTCATAATTGAAATTGGTATATTATCTTTATCATAATCCTTTAGTTGCTGTAGAAAATTCATGTCACCAAGTAACCTTTTACTTGGGCCCCAATAATCCAATACCTTACACAAATTATTTAGATTCATAATTAAAAATACATATAAATAAATATAAATGGTTAAATCATTACTTTTTGTCCAGGTTTATTAGGATCTGGAATTTTATATGGAGCTTCCCCTTTCATGACACAAACTGCAGCCATAACAGTTTTTACTACGTCAGGTGGATTTTTCATTGATTTTACTAGTGTTATATCAGCTGGTTTTAGAGTATTCAATGCATCAATTGCATCTGTAATAATATATAGTAGCTAAATATTTAAGGGAAAAATATACAAATATGAGAAGGGGATCAGAAAACTTGTGACGACTTAAATTGAGAATATTCATTCTTTTGCTTATTAATTCATAATTTATGCCACTACATGAATATAATTTGATTCTTACTTAAAATAATTAACCTTATTATTATTACATTTGTTATAAAATAATGAAATTATTATAACTTTTAATCCTAGAGTAATAACAATATTATAGTAGTGTAATATTGAATTAATTATTATTATTTACCCTCTAAAACTGGTATAGCTAATGCTAGGTCAGCTTCACATTCAGTTTTTAATTCATTAGCTGCATTAGCTTGTACATTTGCTACTTTTTCATCTTCTTGGACTCTGGCAGTAGCTTTTTCAACTTCAACAGTTTCTCGAGATATAATTATCATCATTTCTTCGGTATCTTTTTGTGCTTTCTGTAGTTGAGGTTGTAGTTTGAATAAGTCCTCTTTCATTTGATTGACTTGGCCCGTTGCATATTCTAGCTCTTGAAGTCCACCAACATATCGCATTTTTGCTTCCATAATTTCCTTTTGTTTAAAATTAGTGCAATCTGTATAGGCTTTAATAAGATCAAGGTAAGATGCAGATGTAACATATGTATGACGATGTGTTATTTTATAAAAATCAGACGAGAGCTTTCTAAACAAACATATTTTTCAGTATAAATCAATTTATTTATTTTTTATTATTTTTACCGAGCATCAACGTGAAAACTTTGACAAACTGTTACTGCTGAATTTTTTATTTTATCTGAAAGATTTACACCACTCAAATATTTACGAGCAACCATTTCTAACGCATCTTCTGGCCAGTCTTCAAACCAGTCAATTGTACAACAACTGACCATTGATGGGTATAATCTAAGACGATTTCTAAAACTTGATCCAATTGGACTGAAGCATAAACAAATGTGTAAATTTTGTTTGCATCTATTAGTAAAATAGTTAAAAACTACTAATGGAGCAATATCTAAGTTTCGGTTTCCACCTTGAGCTGCTAACCTGACCATCTAAATTATTAATTAAATATGCATAGGTGTTATAGGAATATCTCCTTAAAGATGTTTAGAAAAATTTGAATACCTCTAAAATTTCTTGTTGCTCATCCATGGCAAAGAGATTCGGTATTTCTCCAGAGTTTAATAATGCATCAATATCTTGTAAAAAGTATTCTTCTTTTATTTGACCTTCAGCAAATAAAAATACTGTGGGCCTATTTTTTCCTCCTGATTCTTTTAATATCATTTTCATGTCATCTCTCCACTCATTAAAAGTGTAGCTTTTAGTTATTTCTGGTTGAAAAACATTATAACTACAAATGGCTGCTGCTAAACGAGTAAGAGATTGTCGCCCTGAACCACCAATTCCAACCAATAGAGCATTGCCACTTGGTGTAGTTAATATACGACATATTCTTGATAGATGTTCAAGAGCATATCTAAAAAGAAATTATTTTTTAAAATATTTTGAGAACTGTTGACATAATTTTTTAATATTTTTTTTATTTAAAATAAATCATATCTAAAAAATCATTTCTAATGATTGAAAAATATACGTTTAATTACTTGAATAAAACTATGTTAAGTTTCGATTTATGTGTCATATCATATTCATCCATTACCATTTTTGTAACATTTTCAAAAGCCTTTAACGATGGTGGTTCTTCATATTTCTTATCTTCTAAGGCATCCAAATCCAATGCACTTGTGAAGATAAGATTCGACATATTCTCATGGCATATTGGCTATGTTAACATATGTTAAGTAAGTTTTTCAAGTAATTTTTATTGTTACTATTCATAATAATTACAGTTGATGTAGATAAATAATTGAACAAAACATCAAATGTGTCTAGGAAGTATTGACTAACATTTTTTCGAATTTCTGTAAATAACCATTCTCTATCTTTATCATCAATTAGACGATCATAAAAAACTCGCATAATTTCATGAACCCATAACCTTTTTTCGACAAATATTTTAAGTATAAATTTTAGTGTTTTATAGCATTACATGAGAAATTATATTTTAGATAATTTTATTTATAAAATATCTTCATCTTCTTCAGCTGTTCTCATATCGCATTCAATAGCATCCCTCCATCTCTTTTTTGGTCTTCCTCTACCTCTTCTTCCTTCAACATTCATTTCTATAACTGTTCTTACAGCTTCCGATTCTTCTCTCTTCATAACATGACCAAATTATCTAAGTCAATTTCAATCATCATATTCACGATTGATGCTGCACCTATACTCCCTCTTATATGCTCATTCTTTATTCTATCTAACTGATCCTAAACACTTAAAATTCTCCAACTCTCCAATCACGTCCTCGCCTATTGTCACTGACCTCCTCATTTCACCTACCTCGTGTTCTCTTTTGTCAAACTCGTACTCTATATACTCCGTCTTACTTCTACTTATTTTTAAACCCTTTTCTTCAAGAGCTGATCTCCACACCTTTAGCCTTTAATTAATTTCCTCCTTATTTTCTCTTACTAACACTATATCGTCAGCAAACAACATGCACCACGGCACCTCTTCTTGTATTTCTCTAGTAATTTCATCCATTACTATAGAAAATAAGTAAGGGCTAAAGCAGAACCTTGGTGCACTTCTACCCTTACCCGAAAACCTTCTGTTACTCCTCCTACACTTTTTACCTTGGTACAAGTGCCATCATACATATCCTCTATTATATTAATGTACCTTTTCGGGACTCCTTTTCTCATTAATGACCACTTTAAAACCTCTCTCGGTACTCTGTCATATGCTTTCTCCAAATCTATAAATACCATACACAGCTTTTTCTTCTTTTCCCTAAACTTTTCTACTAGTTGCCTCACTTAAAATAATGGCTTTATTGTTGACTTACCAGGCATAAATCCAAACTGGTTTTTAGATACCGATGTCTTATTTCTTATTCTCTTATTTATTACCTTTTCCCAAATTTTCATACTATGACTCATTTGCTTTAGGCCTCTATAATTTCCACACGCTTGTATGTCTCCTTTACCTTTAAATATCGGAACCATAATACTATTCTTCCATTCATTTGGAATTTCCCCTTCTAATAAGATTTTATTTAAGAGTTCCTTTAACCACCTTATCCCAACACCGGCTAATATTTTCCATCGTCTACTAGCACTTCATCTGGTCCTACTGCTTTATTCTTTTTCATTGATGCTACAGCCTCCCATATCTCTTTCTCACTAATTAAATCTACCAGTTCCTCATTCCACGAAATATCCTCTAATATCTCTTTTGGGTATTATTCATTCAGTAATTTTTCAAAATACTTTTTCCACCTTTTTTTCACATCATCATCACTCGAGAGAACCTTATTATCAACACTTTTTATACACCTTATATAATGATAATCTTTAGACCTTTTCTCTCTTATCTTTGCAAGTCTATAGATTTCTTTCTTACATTTTATTTATAAAATATAAATACTGTAATTTAATTTTTAATGTTTAAAAATATAATTTATTGAAATGATATCGGGTAGTTCAATATAAAATTTAATGATCATACTTCGTAAAAATTTTTTTGTTTGTGTAACTTTCTTTTCTAAACATGAGTATCCCATTAGTTACTTTCGAAATATCTCTTAAATTAAATAAATAATGAGACTTAGCAGGTGTTGGAGCTAGATTGGTCATAGCAGATCTATATAAATGAATTGTAGACTCAACTATGCTGTCAATAATTGGCATTACTTCTAATGTGAATCCATTCCTCTAAAGTACAGTAAAAAATATTTCATGTATTTTATAATAAAAAAAATTTGTTGTTTTCATACTCTCAATCCTATTTGGAGTAATGTCGAATATATTTTTGTTATACTTTCATCATCAAACGAATTTATTGAAAATAGTCCGAAGTGTCTTAAAAATCTATAATAGACATCTTGTCTACTACCACCAGGTGGCCCAATGGCAGTTAGAAGGAGAATATCTTTTATGTAAACTTTACTGGTGTCATGCAAGTCATACCAATGTCCATGATCGAAAAATTGTCTTAATAACTCAATAGGGGGTTGTGCTCCATATTGTTCTTTAACTGGCATGTTCATATCATCAACAAATATAACACATTGTTTACCTATTGGAGGACCATAAACTCCACGTTTTCGTTTAATAAGTTTTGATATTACCATTTCTTGTGTAAAATTAGCAGACGTCTGACTTGTAAATGTAATAAAAGATGGAACATATTTATCCAACGATAATTTAGTCATCATGTACTTTTTTATATAAAAACTTTTTCCTGTTCCAGTAGCTCCGAATAATAATAAGGGTTTCCGGAAATGAATGAACATATCGACTAAATGTAGATACCTAGATTATTAAATGCAATTTTAAATCTTTTTCATTTTCGAATTTTATTAATAATCAAGATTAAAAATTTTAAAATAAAATTTATTAAAAACATTAAGTTATTTAATTTGTAAACATTTTTGGAGGATTTAATTTCTAATTTAAGTATTTTTCTTGTTAACCTGAATAATGTATTAACTTCAAGTCAACTATCAGCAGTATAAGAGTTAAGAAAATTTTGTTCAAATTTCTTTGAACATAGAAAAGTTAAAAAATATGAAGAAATTATCCTTAAACTTAACATACTATATCCTAAATGAGCTTAATAAGTTTAAAAAATGTATGAGCTGGCGTAATTTTGTTTATAATTACCTTGATGTATCAATGGTGTGTACTAAAGTTTGTTCTATGTTACTCATTTCTTCTATTTTATTAGTTTTTGCTATTTCTGTCCAGTGTTTCCATGAGCCTTTTGCTGTGCAACCGAAGACATAATCATATAGTAATCCTTCGTTTGGGACGAGAATTTCTATACAACTAATATTTTCAGGTGGTGGAAAATTAGGGTTATCACCTCTCCATAGTTGTCTGAAGTAGGAATCAAAAACTGGCCTGGAAGAAGAATCTAATGTACCACCAAATCCCCATATTGCTGCATACACAAATGATCCATGCAAATAATTAGTAAAATAATCATAATACATTTTATTATCAACAGAAGCATTTTTTAGTTGCATTTCGAGTAGATTTAAAACATTCCTATATATATATATATATATAAAATTATATTAATAAATAATAGTAGCAACCATAATTTTTAATTTTAGAAACCATACATAACCATGTTTGTTTCTCCTGCTGTTGTTAATTGAGTACAACTTCGACGAATAAAATAAAGACACGGTGGTGCAATCCAATCAAATAAACTCATTATATCAATACCATTTTGACCAGTAGACCAAAATTCAGAACATGTTTCCATCCAGGATTCCAGTAAAGGTTTCCAACCCAAAATAATAGGGTCCATGTATATCATTCCACATCGAGATACAGTAGCAGGAGATGCCTTAATAGCCAAAAAATTTGGAGTTATTAAATTTAAAAATATCTGAGAATATTATTTACTTGTGTGAGATCCATCACTTCAAATATCATAGACATACAAGAAGGCATACTCATGACTTCCCCTGAATTTAAACACAACTTTTTATTGTCATCCAAAACAGTGTTCATATTTTCTACCCAAACGGCGTCAACTGGTCCATCAAATATTAACCATTTCCTATTTGAGTTTTCTGACATTGAAAATCGTCTTGATGTTTAATACAATTTATTTATTAGGTTAATAATATAATTGCAGATATAAGGCTTTAAAGTGTTACCTAAACGTTGTAGCTACAACACCGTCTGTCCACTCGTGTGATATATCATCAAAGCACCCATACAGCTGGCTCATTGTTAAGGCTTTAGGGTTAATAGTTTCATATTCAACTATCTCTTCTCCTTGATTTAACTTATTTTGTAAAGTCAAACTATCTGCCAATACCTTCAATATAGATGTTTTTCCACCAAAAGGATAACCAACCATCATAAATCCATGTCTAACGATCATCATTTCATAAGTTTGTATAAGTTTCTTTATGAAACTATTTGTTAGTTGTAAATGCCTTTTATTACATACCTTAGAAAAACGTTTTTATGTACACATTTTTACTAATGTATTTATCTCTACTTACGACTTTAGCAGCATTAAGAAAATTATCGTATTTTGGATCAGGCAATTTCACTCCAGGGAATAAATCAGATATAATACCATTGAATAAAGGAACATCTTTGTTTAAAAATTTTGCCAAATTTACATCTAATATTGATCTCAGTAAGAGTTCAGATTCATCATCGTTGGGAAATTTCATTTTTAAATTTCCAGCAGCAGTAAGAACTGTTTTGACTGCTCTCATACCTGATAAAAATTATTTTTTTTTATTTAGCCTTTGCAAACAAAGTATATAATTTTTACAAACCATAGTCATAGTGAGATTGAGAAGATAGTTGTTCAGAACACAACTTATACGTAGTAACAATTTTTACTGATAGTTCACGTGCATTGACAAATCCATTTGAATATAGTTGTATCTCACCAATCATTGTGTAATCTGGTACCATCATAGCTACTGTTCTGAATAAAACCTGTTCATACAAAAATTATAAATTGTTCAATGTAGGATCAAAATTTACGTAGTTTTTTATACCTTCAAATTATCTGGTAGTTCTGATCTACCTGCGTATCCAGGATTCATAGTAATACACACATAACATCTCTTATTTAAAATTATTTCTGTTCCTTCAAAAATAAATGTTTCAAGATTGGCTCTAACTGCTTGAGCAATACATAAAATTTGTTGAGCAATTACTGAAAGAACCTCAATATCAATCCTATTAAATTCGTCAAAACATGCCCAAGCTCCAGCAGATGCTAAACCTTTAAAGAACTAAAATACAATATTTAAAATGTACATTAAAAAGCATGTTTCTATTACGTAAAAATTACTTTTCCCATTGCTAAATAATCAAGACTGTCAGAGCAATTATAAACTACACATTGTACAGCCAAAGCTTTTGCTAAGTCTTTAGTTGTTTCAGTTTTTCCAGTGCCAGCGGGTCCTTCGGGTGCTCCATTTAAATGTAAATGGTATGCACTAACTAATGTTCGATAACATCTATCAGTTAAAGGTGTTATAACAAGTCTAGGAGAGTTTCCTAAGTATTCATAAGCATATTGAATGGTTGCATTAGTGATACGAACCATTACATTATCTTCCCAATAGTATCTAAAAAAATGTTTATCTAAATAAATGTAACTATAATGACATAGAGTTTCATACCTAAGTTGACTAAGCCATTTAAAATCCATTGCTTGAGAAACATGGTTAATTTGCAATTCATTAACGACATCTCTTCCATGTACATTTAATGTCACTAATGCTTCCAGAGTTGTTCTAGTTTGCGAATTTAATTTTCCACGAACCAAATCAACTATATTGTTCAATTGATTCTAGAAATTATTTATATAAATATTAGTAGTAATGAATTTGGACTAAATTTAATAAATGTAATCCTTTAATGCATCTTGTTGAACGTTTAAAACAATTTTAAAATCAGATTTAATTAATTTTTAAAGTATACAATCAATGTATGATATATTTTTTAATGGTGATTAACGTTAAGACATATTATTTTATTTATAATGTCTTCGAGTAAGATTCTAATAATTGTAAGGTAATCAATAGACTTAAATAAGCAATTTTTAATCATTTAATGTTTTTTATTTAAAACTGCTATTACATTTTGAGGAATCGATGAATAGAAACTAAACTTTTTTATAGATACATTAGGTAGTGACTAATCATTTGGTACTTTTTTTTTTCAATCTGACCCTTTACCTGCCTAAAGGGGTATTTAAAATGATAATTTTATATATAAACTATTAACTATATTATATTTTTTAATTTATTTTGTATAAATTTTTGAAAAATATATAGATTAATACGACATAGTTTTTTTTAAATCCTTTTTTTTTTTCTACAGGGGGTGTTTAAATCTTTAAACATGCGTATAGAAATTAGAACTTTTTCAACTTAAATTTTGAAAATGTTCCGAAAATACATAAACATTCTTATACCGAGTGATTTTTTTATCATAACCCACTCAATTACTTACAGAATAATAATAATTTAAACATTTTTTTTTTATTATTATCTTTAGTTATACATTATTCTTGAAATATTAACTATGTAATACTTTTTAAGTTCATTCCTTATGCCTGGTAAGGATGTCAACTTTGTTTTTTTTAAACGGGAACACATATTTTGAGTTTAATAAAATGTTTGAGTTTTTAATTTAATGATAAATGGCATTTGAATTTTTCGTATAACTTTATTTGTTTATTAGATATAAACATTTAAAGTTTCAAATTTTTAAGTTAATATACATGTATAATACATAAGGATTAAAAATACAGGTAGCTAATATATATCTACAGATATTTAGGGTAACTAGATACTAGTTATAATCTTTTGACGTATTGTTGAAAAAAATTGGCCAAGTGATAGTTGAGAAAAATAAATGACAGGTATAGGAGCTAAAATGTGTTAGTTAGATTATTAAAAAATGATTACTGTTAAAAATGTAAGATGAGATTTCATTTGTCCTGGTTTATTTTCTAAAAATAGTTCATGCACTTCTGATGTCCAAAATATTTGATCAACGCATAATATTGCTTGACCTGGCCATTTTTGAACCCAATCTGTTCGATTTATTGTAGGATATTCTTTAAAAGCTTTTTCAATAATACTTCTAATTGATTTTATCATTTTTTCTTCCAACTATAAGAGATAATATTGAATATTATTTATTAATTAATAAATAATTAATTTAATTGTTGAACTAGGTTGAATAACCTGTACTAGCCATTTTTCTACACTTCCTCTCGCTTCAACTGTTGATATTGTTTCTACTAAAATAACTTCTTCTCCTTCTTTACTTAAAATTTTCAAAATATCTAAATCATTGTTAAACTCAAGTTTGGAAATTCCTTCAAAACATTTACATAAATATGGCTGGACTCTTTTAGGGTTTTTTGTTTCAGATAAAATTTCCAACATTTCATCATTTCCAAGAAAGAAAAATCTAATAATCAGTAAGTTTCAAATTGAATCTCAAAAAAAAAAAAATAAAAAATAATGAAAATGAATAATAATTTTACCTTGGAAAATATAAGCGCTTCTTTTCTAAATAATTATTGACACCGGTTGTAATATTTTCTATCAATTCGACACAATTTTTTAATGACTCTAGGATACCTTCTTGTCCTACAGACTGGACAGCTAATGGTTTTTTTCCTACCAAACTTAATAATCCTCTTATAATTGTATCAACTTCCTAATAAATGATGTCACAATTAATTATTTATAGTGTGATTTTTACATTTAATAGTTCCTCTTTTAATGGCAAATATGGTTAAGATAATATGGTTATATATTACAGTGAATAGGGCTCCTTCTTCGGGCATTTGGGCAACAATATCCTTAGAGCTAAATATCGGCATAAGATAAAGCCATTTTATTTGAACTTTCGCCCATTCTTCGAGAGTCATATTTATTCTATTAATAAGATCAAACCATTCTTTTACTTCAGCTGCTATAGGTTTTACGAAGGCTGATCCACGCATTGATATAGTTTTAATTAAATGATCATCAATTATCATTTGAATATCATCCAATCCAGATATTATATTTATTTTTGTACCTCTATAAATAGTAAAAAAAATATTGATTGTTATTTTAAATTATAATACAAAATCACTATGAATTATTACTTATAGGGACTTGTTGACAAACTTATAGTTTGCCATTCTTCTTTCATTTTATTTAGTGATTTTTTTAGTTGCTCTTCTTTAGTAGCTCCAACACTTATAACATCGAACCTATAAAATGATTAATTTATATTGTAAAACTAAAATTAAAAATTATAAAAATATATATATTTAGTGAAACTTGATAAGTTCTTATATAAATTAACATAAAATGTTAATTTTCATACTTATAAGAAAAGAATGGACTGAAAAAATGTTGAATGGTCACTATAACAATGGAAATTTTACATACTCTTGCTAATAAATAATAATTAACATAACATGTTAATTTGCCACCTTCCTTCAATGCGACCCTGCTTTAACAACTTATGAAATACTACATATTAAGTAAATATAAATTTATGATATAAATGGTTGGGTTGTGAAACATAAAAGTATTGTAATATATGTGATTTGGAAAAAATTAAGTGTTAAACTGCCTTAAAAATATATACTAAAATGAATATTTATATTCAGTAATTTTATAAAAATAATTATATAATGAAAAAATAAATAACACAGTATAAAAGAAAATAATAAATTGATGTTTTCAAGGTAGTCACTTTTAAAATAACCTATTATCTTATAGTAATCAAATTTCCACAGATTTAATCATAAATTGATGAAATGCCAACAATTTTCTAACTTAAAGATTTTTAAAAAAATGTATAACTTTTTGTAAAACATTTCTTTACAATAAATAAAGATTTAGAGAACACATTATTCAAAAAGTAAAAAATATATTATAGTCAATATTTTTGTAGCTTAGTAAAAAATACTAATAAAATAAAATAACTTACTGTGGAATAAGGGGCTCGAGATGATAATCAATTATTTTTGATAGATTAGTTCCAGCATTTGGAGTCAAATCAAATCCCATTATCTCAGACATTTCTTGCCAATGTCTTTCTTTTAACGCTGGATTACACATAATACCGATTATTGGTAAGTATTGCTAAAAAAAAATTTCTAATATTGTTATTAAATTAAGGTTTATTTTTTTAGTTTAACTACATAATATGAGTTTTAATTAAAAAATAATAAGTATTACATATTTAAAAATATTTTTTATATATATTAATTTATACCTTGAATTCTTTCATACTATTAACGGTCTGGAATACTATTTTTAATGGTGCTGGCCACAAATTCATGTCTGTGTCATCAATGATACCTTCATACCGCTTGCTAAAATTTTGTGCAAGCATTTCTTTACATTTTACTCTAAACACTTTTTGAGTTTTAACTGCTTCTCTATAATGAATATGTTAGAAAAAAATTACAGCCGTAAAATACAATAAAAAAAACAACCCAGCACAGTGGGATCGCGGCACAGTGGGGACGTGGCATAGTTGAGTCCAGTATAGATTTAATCTGACAATGATTAAAATCACTATTATAAAAAACGCTTTAATGTAAATCTGTAGATAATGTTTATTTTTAAGAAATTGGTGGATAATTACAAAGACTTTTATTACTTTTAGCTCAACTTGCAAGTTTGAAATTGACATTAATAAATAGAACAAAATCGAATTGTTAAGATTAATATGCAGTCAGAAAATTTTATAATTACTATTTATAGTAAATTTATCAGAAAAGTTCGTTTTTTTTTTACATTTTTATCGTAATAGATCACTTAAATAAAAATCATAGTAAACATTTCTATTTAACTTTTGGTGTTAAAAAGATTCTACAATGGAAATATTCAGAACTTAATTAATTTTAATGATTTACTTTAACTAAAAGAATCAATAAAAAAAAGTTGTTAAAAAGATTTACTCAATTGAGCGTATTATAAAATTTAATTATAATTTTAAAAATCCATTGTTAAATTCAGGTGAAATTAAAAATCATAACATATAACATTCCTCGATAATATATATAATATAGTGCTATGTGAAAATGCAAAATAGTGTCCTAATAAAAATACATATTACACCATATAATTAAGAAAGCTTAAGAATGGAACTACTCTTGAAGTCAGCGAAAATACAGAGAACTAAGAAATCGTGTAATACGAAAGTCAAAAGAAGCAAAGGAAAAATTTTTAGAGGAAAAGTGCAAAGAAATAGAGATACAAATGAGGAATGGTAGCAGAGATGCAGCGTATAAATCAGTTAAAATTTTTTTTAACGATTATAAACCAAAAAGGGGGGCAATAGAGGATAACAACGGAGTAATTATTTACGAGGACAAACATAAAGGCAACATATGGAAGAAGTATCTAGAACAGCTATATGAGGGACCAGAACTCACGGGACAAGAAATAGAGCATGAAGAAGTAATGGATAATAACTCAAATTATAGTGTACTGAGAGAAGAATTTGATAAAGCACTGAGAGATCTAAAAAAGAAGAAGGCTGCAGGAATTGACGAAATCCAAGCAGAACTTTGGAAAGAATCTGGCGAAAACATGCGCAGTGAGCTTTTTAAACTCATAAAGGAGATATTTAACTCAGGAAAACTTCCTGTAGACTTTACTAAGTGTAAGATTATTCCTATTCCGAAAAAAGCAACCGCAAACAAATGTGATCAGTACCGTACAATTAGCTTGCTGACACATGTGTCAAAAATACTGACAATAATTATGTCAAGAAGAATGGAATATAAGATCGAAGCCATATTGTCAGAAGACCAGTTTGGATTCAGAAAAAACATGGGTACAAGGGAAGCAATACTGGCTTTAAGAATAATTATCGAGAAAAGAATTAGAAAAGATAAGCCTACATACATAGCTTTTGTGGATATAGAAAAAGCGTTCGACAATGTCAACTGGGCAATAATGTTCAAGATGCTTAAAAAAACAGGTATAGAATACACTGAAAGGAGACTACTCTTTAATCTATACCAGAAGGAAACAGCTGTTATACGATTTGGCGAAACTGAGGAAGAAGCACGCATAAGAAAAGGAGTAAGGCAGGGTTGTACTCTCTCACCTAGCATATTCAATGCATACATCCAGGAGGCAATTAACATAATAAGAGAGAAAATACATTTGGGTATAAAGATAAATGGCAGGAAAATCGATATGCTACGGTTCGCAGACGATATAGCAGTCATAGCTGAAAATGAAGAAGATTTGCAAAGGATGCTAAGGTGTATGGAAGAAACTCTGCTCAATGAACTGAGCATGAAAATAAATACGAAAAAGACCAAAGTTCTCGTATGCAGCAGGAGCAATAATATTACGACAAGAATACATCTGCAAAATAACCAAGAAATAAAGCAAGTAGAAGAGTTCGCATACTTGGGAAGCATAGTAAGTAAGGATGGCAGAAGTAAAAAAGAAATAGTAAAGCGAATATGCCAAGCTAAGATAGCATTTAACAAAAAGAGAGGACTTTTTACTTCAAAAAATATTAGCATACGTACCAGAATATATCTCCTGAAGACATACGTATGGAGTATAATGCTGTATGGCAGTGAGACGTGGACGATTGCCAAAGAAGAGCGAAGAAGAATAGAAGCTTTCGAGATGTGGTGTTTCAGAAGAATGCTCAAAATAAGTTGGACGGGCATGGTAACAAACGAGGAAGTATTAGAAAGAATGTCCGAGAGAAGAACTTTATGGAGCAGTATCAAGAAAAGGAGAAATGAATGGATTGGACATGTATTGAGACATGGTGGGTTGCTAGGATTGATTATAGAAGGCTGTGTGGAAGGAAAAAATGCTAGGGGAAGACCACGAATGGAATATATGCAACAAATAATAGAGGACCAAGGATGTACTTCTTATGAAGAGACAAAGAGGAAAGCAAGTAACAGGGAAGAGTGGAGAATTGCTACAAACCAATCTCAGGATTGAATACTGAAGAAGAAGAAGATAATTAAGGTGCAGAATAAACGTACGAGCAGAAATGAGTCAATGCCCATATTAAAACTATGCACGTGGAAAAAAAACCTGGTAAAACGGTGAAAAATAAACAGATTGAATTAATTTTTTTATCATATCTCAGGAATGTCATTGAGCAGGTCTGATGAAAATTTCAAACCTTAAGTCGTAAAACGCTGGCGTCAGTGTCAAAAATTTTCCAACCTTCGTCAATAATTTTCCCGGAGTTTGGTGACCAAGTACTTTCATTGAAAAAAAAATTTTGAAAATACGAGCACGCTAAGTAATTTTTCCAGAAAAGCGTTTTTTCCTTGTTCTATTATATAATAAGATATAATTTTATAATATATTTTTGAATTTAAGAATTACTAATCTGGATATAATTAAGGAAATAGTTGATGTTGCTTTTGTAATTATCCACCAATTTCTTAAAAATAAACATTATCTACAGATTTGCATCAAAGCGTTTTTTATGATAGTGATTTTAATCACTGTCAGATTAAATCTATACTGGACCCAACTATGCCACGTCTCCACTGTGTTGGGGTTTTTTTTTTTTATTATTATTTAAGTATTGTCAATAATTTAAATTGTTAATAACTTCTGAAGTATCCAAAAGTTGGTATCTACCAGTCTGCTTCTTAATTACATAATTTTCTATATTATAAGTTAGTTAAATATGTATGTTGACGTTTTAAAATTATATAGATACCCTAATAATATATGGGATGAACATGAAAAATGTTTTTTTTATAGATAATTGGATAAATATTCATAAAAAATTATTATTTCAAGAAATATTGAATGGCTTGCGTTAAAAGAACTTTGCATATAAATATAGAATACATTTTTTTCTATGTAGAAATTAATTAATATTTGCTATCTTGTAAAATGTTGGAAAAAGAATATAAAAGATTTTCACATTAGGTTCTTAGAATAGAACAATAAAATTAAATGTAGAAAAATATTACTTGTAAAATTCATCTACTTCTAGTTCAATGTCGGACAGCTTCAGTTTATCAAAATCTCCTCGCATCCAAACGTTTTTCCTGAGAAACCATTTATAGGAAAAAACTATAAGATTGATAAATGGTGTCGTAAAATCCTATTAATGAATAACTTTTTGATTATTATGAAGTTAATAATGAATGTTTATATCGATTTTTATTGTTTATAATAAGGCTCGTAAGTTCATGCATTTATGGGTTTGGTTAGTTATTTAGAAAGCATATTAAAAATATTTCTTCTCATCATTTTCTCATAAAAAAAATACCTGAATATGTCATTTATAATTTCCTTTGATTTGATGCTTTTGGAACTGGCTAATACCCAATTAAAAATTTAATGATGAATATAAACAAATTAATATATTTAACCTTTAGCGTAACAATAAAGATTGATCATCGCCAACATCACTCAAAATTTTTAAGAATATCTTAAATAAATGCATTTAATGATTTAGTTTATTTAATGCATTTAACAATCTAATGATTTAGTTGATAAATATTAGTATTTATATTTTATGTAACTTTATACTTTTATTTCGTCGAGTTCTGGAAATGTGCTAATAGGTTTGTTAAATAATTTTTCTTCTTTATTGATCCAAGAAACTGTTGCATCAAAAGCTTCTATTTTTCTATTAAGCGTATTAATATACTAAAAATCAATATAAATATACACTAAATACTTAACGAATATATTAACAATATTATCAATTTTAAAATCATTATTTATTTTACCAATATATATTCATAAAGTTTGTTAGTATCATCTATACGATCTAAGAAAGTTAGATGTGGTGTAAAAGCATCTAAATCATAGTTTAATTGACTTATAACTTTTGCTAGATTTTCTTCTCTATTGGATTTTCCAGCTTCGTACATACTTCCGTACTTGAGAAAAACCGGAGCTATGTTCTGAATCCATTGAATAGCAGATATATGAGCATCCCAGAATTCTTTAGGAAGATGTGTATAACGAGAGATATCACAAGCGACTGAAGTTATTTGCTTGACAGTACTAGTCATTTCACTCATAAAAGTTGTGCTTACATAAAGCATGTATTGGCCTAGATCTAGAAATTCTTTAGTATCTTTTGGCTGAGAAACCGCTCGTGAAACCATTTTATCAAATTTCATGCAAACCCTACATATTTAAATTATTATTCAGCTCCACAATATCTCAATATAATTGTTAACGTAGCTAATTTTTTTTTTTCTGTTTTTAGTCGCATATATTTTTCGATATATCAATTCTGTGGTTATTTTCCAAAAGCTGATATATAAATTTCGGCAATTTTTCAGGAAATTAAAAATAAATTAAAAATTTCTGATGTCAGAAGGTTTCAAGTGCCAAAAACAAACCTAAATAATATTAGCTCATCAGTTTTTGGCACATGAAATATATTGTTACCTATCAAATTATAAGAAATTAAAAAGAGATTTTAAAAACCCACTATTATGGCTCGGCTACTTTTTGGTGTAAGCTATAAAATTATTTATAAATTAATTATTTTTTTATTAACCTTTTATACTTAAAAAGAATTTCACTTGATTTGTTTAATAATACATTTAAGCTGGATTTAATTTTAGACAGTAATCTAATTTAGAAAACAGCATATTAATAACAAATTTTAAAGGATAAACTTTTATGTTGTCATTTACAAAAATAAGGCTATTATTAACGAGGTATAAGGAATGGATCTATAAATACTTAAAAATAGATTAATAGAAAATTACATACTTACCAAGCTAGTGAATATCTTTTAGGTGCGAATTGAAAAAAAAAAAAAATTACAGATGGTTAATTTAATGAAATTTTGATGTAAGTTAATATGTCATTTTTTATGTTTTTCTTATCCACTTATTAGTTTGAAAAAAAAGAAAATGAATTTTAAAGACAATTTCAAATAGTTAATATTATCAGATACTAAAAGTTTCCATAATTTCAGTTATAGTAAACTGATGAAAGAATAAATAAAGAAAAAATGTATAAAATGTTTTATATTAACTTTTACAATTTTCAACTTATTTTGATTATTACAAATTATTTTTTTATATGGCATGTACATAGAAAATAGTCATAATATTATTAATTTTACAAAATTATAAAAAATAAAAGATATTTTTGAATTATCACAGTAATGATAGATTTTAGAAAAAAATACATTACAACATTTTTTGTGTTGAAATTTAATGCTAAATAGTTTTTATTCTATACATTTTTATAGAACAATTTTTAACTATAATATTTATTGAAATAAATGTGAAAAACAACACTATTTGGTCAATATTCAACCATAATATGGAAAAAGAAGAAATTGTTTGATCGAGTCCAAATTTTCATAGTATAAAATTTATATATCAAGTAAAAAATGAGGGGGGTGTCGTGATCAAATGTGTAAATGTGTAATTTATTAAACAACTACACCTCATTATTTTGTTAAATAATGATTTTTTTTAAATACATTGATTAAAATTTAATTTATGTGTAAAATCTATTTTCAATGTAAATTTTATTGTAAGAAAAAATTATTTCAAAAAAATAATTATAAAAAAATGTTATTTTAGGTGCTTAGATCATTTTTCCTAGCCACGCCTCTAATAATGATTTTTTTTTTATAAAAATGTACTAATAAAAATTAATTTTTATAAATCATTTTAAATATCAAGTTTATTATAAGTAAAGTTATTTTTAAGGTAGATTTGCAGTATTACTTTTTGGGATATTAGCATTCGAAGTATAAGAAAAGATGAGGAGCTGAGTAGTGTTTAGCAACACAACTTAAGTGTTGCATTGTGCACCCCTCTCTAACTGAAAATTACATAAACTCATTAAGTAATATTGCAAAACTGGTTATTGACGAGTAAAAATTTTATTCAGATAATTTTTCATTTAATAATAAAAATATAATAATAAGTTCAATATCAAAGATTTTAGAAATGATCCAAAATATGAAGTACCCCAAAAAAAATTTTTTTTTTAATTATTCCTAAGGATATTTCTTAGCAATAATTTTTTCTTGCAATAAAATTTCCATTTAAAATAGTTTATAAATTACATTCAATTTTAATCAACATATTTAAAAAAAAAATTATTATTTAAAGAAAATGTAGAGTATATTTCTTAATAAACCATACTTTATACAAATTAGAATCGTTATTTAAGAACTTAAAATATTTTATAACTTACTTAGTGTTGTCATCAAGCTGTTTATTAATGATGTGATTAATTATTTGATTCATATATTTCTTTGCAGTATCACTTACATAAGACTTTAAACCAATTACATTGATACTATTAAAATAATTTGTTTAATATTTTACATCTATTTGTTTGTACTATTTTTACGAGTATGATTACTTTCCAAGTTCAAACTCCCATTCGTCTGCAAGTTCCATAGCGTTAAGCCTGTAATTGTCAAATAAATATAATGTTTCTAGTAGTTCTTCGTAAGTTCGATCTTTTTCCAGATACTTATTTAATTGTATAGGTTGATGCTTGTTTAAGATCTCGCTAAAATTATCTTCTGCAAATAGAAATAAACTTGTGTTTTGGAAATTTAAATATGTAATTTATTTACCAATTTTTTTCAAATAATCTGCCAATTCTTTGTATATATCATTTAATTTAGTTGTTAATTTGATTTTGGCGTCTTGAATATAACTATGGTCTCTTTTAATTGGTATAAATTGGCTCTGTATTGGTAATTTAAAATAATACTCTAGAGATGGTAGTTCACAACAAACAGTATTTATCTAAAATAAAAGCTAGAATTATTCTAACCTAAGCAAAAATATTGAAACAATAGAATCACTTACTAAGTTCATAATAGAACAGTATTGTTCACTAACTTCATTTATACTAGGAACGCTTACACACATTGAACCATTAAAATGTAACTTGAAATTTAGTTTAGGTGTTGTTAATGAGTTCCCAAATACATTTAATATATGTTCCGTCGATTTCAATATTACATGTTCGATCTAGAATAAATTGAAAAATATTACTTTATATTTAGTAATTTGTATTATTATAAAATAATATAATACAAATTACTTAATGGAGAAAGAGAATATAACAATATAAGGGTAGTTTATTACTTATATTACATTAAACTTTATTTTCTCAAATATTTACTAAAAATTAAACATATTATAAAGAAATGTTTTCAGATTATAGATGTTATTTCAATGAATTTTTTAGGAATATATACAAGATGTTCGGTTTTTCATAAACCATTTGATTACTCTCAAAATATATATAATATTGAAAAAGAAAATTGATTTTCTTTTAGTTACATATATTTTTTTATTTATTAGTTATAAATTACTTTTTAGAATCATTTCTTATAACTTATAGGTGTGTCAATATTACTTTTTCAAATGGTTTCGTACATAATTAAAACTAAAAAATGACTGGTCTAAAAGTTGTTTTCGACCAATTATTTTTTTAATTACATTACTATCTACTAAATAAGCTAGTTAATTATGTACGATACTATTTGAAAAAAAAGTTGATACACCTATACTTTGAAATTTATTATAACGAGATAAGGTTCACTATGTATTTTAAAATTAGGAAATAATTGTAAAATAATATTGGGCAAAGTAGTGATGCTAAAATTGTGAAATGATTCAATCCAAAAATATGTCTTTTGGCTAATAAAAATAATCTTAAAATATTAATAATTCATCAAGTTGAAAACTTTGGTTATGAATTTGATGTTATTTATAACAACTAAATCAATAATAGAGGTTGCCATAAATCAAATATTTAATTGATAAAATAATACTCTATTACAAAACTAATATTTTCACCTCCAGGCTAATTACTGTTGTTAATCCTCGGAAAAATTGGGCAAGTGATGACTTCTTTATTTTATCTAATGCTCCTTGTTTTGATAAAATATGAATAACCTCTTTGTACCATTCTTTAGCAAGAAACACGTCAATTTTTCGAAAATCATGCTCAATTGTTGCCATTAAATCATTAAGTTCTCTTGGAAATTCTTCAGATCTTAATAAAAAAAAAGGAGTTCAATGAAAACTATTCAAATATAATTTAAAAAAAAAGTATGTTGAATAATCACAATTAATTAATTTATAATAAATTATAAATTACCTATATGTTTCTGCTTCTATCAATATATTTGGTATCATTCGTTTTGTAAAATTTAACACAGTGATAGTTGTTATATGAGTTAAATGAAGACGTTTAGAAAGAAGATTTTGCCTTTTCAAAAATATTTTGTGATCTTGCAATGAAAGATGTTCAAATTTTTCATAAGGCCTTAAAAAAAGAACAAATTTAAATGTTTTTCGGAAAACTAATTTTCTAATTTTTTATAAAAATCTTACTGAAGATTTAGTTTAATGTTTTGAGAATTTACTGGAGTCATTTCCTCAGTTAATGGTTTAATAATTCCATCGCTTTGTAGTTTTTTCATTGCTTTAGCATACTCTATTTTGACTTCATCTAATATTACACGAGGAACTTTTGCATGCTTCCAACGTGCTGTCTTGACTTTCTATGAAAAATAAGTTAATTTATAATAATTTTAATAAAATCATTATTTCCGTGTTACATTGATAATATTTAAAATCCACGACTCATGAAGGGGTGTTGGTTCCACAGAATCAGCAAATTCTTTAAGTTTTTTATGATAATATAACTGGGGACGTTTTATAATATCTTGATGTTTAGCTGGTAAATGTTGTCTAGATACCATTAAGTCAATTTTTTGTATTACAGCGCACTCGTTCCTATAATTTAAATAAGAAATAAGCTTGTCTTAAATTATTTATAATTTATACATAGTAGTGATAATTATATTTTATAATGTATTTATATACAGGGTAAAGTGAGAAAAATATTTTGAAATGAGGAGTACATTGTTAATATTTGATAAAAAAAATGTATAATTATACATTTATAAACATAAATTTATATCACCTAAGATTTGTTTATTTATAGATGGAAATATAAATGATCATTAATGATCATCTATGGATGCATTTTAAAGTATTTTCCTAAAGTTAATGTTTGCTCTAGATAAATTAGTCCTAAATTTAGAATATCCTTTTATTGTTATTCCTTCTAAAATAATAACAACATACAGTATTTTCTCTATATTTTTATTACTGGAAATTATTAATATTTATATACTTAAGTAGGAGCATGGAATAATGATATATGTAACAATAGTCATAACTCCTAACCCACCCCTTGTATAAAATCAGAAATCCCAATAATTTCCAAAGAACTGATTGTTATTGACTAGTTATTTTTTAACTAAATTATGTTCCAATTTTTTAGCTGCTTAAATATTTATGTTGCAGTTTGAAAATTTTAAGTTGACACCCTTATATGACATATGAAATTAATTTATAAAATACTTCATGATTACTTAATAAAGAAATCTAGAAAGAAAAATCTTCATATTGTCATTATTGTAATAAATATGATGCGAGTCCCCTCGCCTACCAAAAAAATTCCAGTAAATATGGATAACAATAAATATCCCCCAATTGTTAAATTATTTGATTTGGAAGCAAAACTAAAAAAAATTTAATAAAGAAACATCAAAATTCTATTCACATAAATGGTCATCATCTTTCTGATTTCATGCATTAAATAATATATCATAAAATGTATGTTTTCATATAAGTGTATATTTTAAAAATTAAACAGTGTGCAGAACACTATATATTGTATATTAAAAAAAAATATTCCCATGCTTTACCCTGCCATATATATTAAAATTATACAAACATGTAGTTTTTTATTATTTCATCTCGGTCTTTTATCGTATTGAATTTTTTTAAAGACTCAGGTTTTTTTAAAAATTTGCTTATATCCGGTAATTTTGATAGTTTTGGTATTACTGGATTTGTTTCTAAAAGTAATCTTATTTCATTTTTTTCTCTATATCCACTATCAGAAAAAGATTCAGTTGATGTAATTCTCGTCAATATTGCATTGCTAGGTCGCGGAAATGATGAATTCTTTTTTTTTTTTGTTAAAGATGAATCAGCATTTGCATTGTCATTATTCATTTTACTAGTATAAATCATAATTATCAAATAAAATTGTAAGTTGTATTATGTTACAATAAAGTTATAACATTATATATAAATAAAAATAATGTCAATTTAAAACTGAAGTTATAATATGTATTGATTACAATATAATTTTAAATTATATTTTTATAAAACTAAAAGCGTTTATATTTTTAATTAAAAAAAGTTTTGGGTAAGAAAGTTAGAATTCCTTCATTTTAAAAAATAAAAATATAAAAACCAACTCAAATGCAAGCTACATATATACAATAATTTTTTCAAACACTTCGCAACTCATTATCACAATTTTTCAAGAGAACAAATAAAATTAGTATACTATAATATATCAAAATTAATTTTATTAAAAATATTTATTGTTATATATAATATTATTGATTTATCTATAAAAAGTAATTTGTGACATAAAAAATAAAAGTTTGCTTATCTGCTAACTAATTTTGATTAAAAAATGAGATGTAATGTGTTGTGTCTTAGACGACAAATTAATCTTTTATTTTGAAATAGTCCCAAAATTGTTATTTTGTGAGACTTAAAATCCGTGTTTATTAAGGAATTTTTTTTGAGTTGTTAAAAAAAAAAACAATGAAAAATAAACGCAGAGAAATTATTGCAACTATGATACTATAATATAGAAAAGTATAATAGTTATGTAAATAACATATCCTTACTATATACAGCTTATAAGTCGATGACTAAGTAACTATCACAGATTAAACCGGACATCTGATCATTTTTTACAATATACTACAAACTAAATAAGTAAAAACATTATATTTCGTAATAATTAATAATAAATTATGATTTAAACATTACAAAAAAACAAAATTATATAAAATAAGGGTACAGATGATTATTATAGATCTAACATCTAGCCGGTTGTTATAAAACATGATAAGTAATCACTATGGTGATCAGTTTGAAGTTTTATTATTTATAAATTAATTTATGATATAATTGTATACTTTAATTACATAAAACAAATTTGAATAAATTATATAATAATTAAAAAAAAAAAACACTTAAATAATCTATACGACAATGTTCAAGCACTTGGGTGTTCATTTCTTTCAGGCACATTTAAATATAAAGTCTACACGCTCTTTTTAGATAACTAAAACTACTAAATGTGGCGCTAGAAAATTGCATTTCTAGTAGAAATGCAATTTCATTAAATAATAGTGATCTATTATTTTACGAAATTAGTATCTATACATTTATATATAAAGGTGATTTTTTTTATAATACTGAAAGAATAAAAATATTTATGAAATTTTTTGGTTGCCATTTGTTACATATTATTATTGAATTATTAGCTGTGTACTACTACTCTTTTCTCATGCCATGTAAGGGGTTCACTTTGTTTTTTCAAATGGGAACACATATTTTGAATTTAATAAAATGTTTGAGGTTTTATTTTAATAGTAAATGGCAATTGACATAACTTCATTTGTTAATTAGTATAAAATTTCAAAATTTCCAGTTAATATATATCACCGACGTACGCATGGGTGGGGGGTTTGGGGGTTGAACCCCCCCCCATTTATAAGCTATGTGAACATTTTGGACGATAAACAATAAGTAATAACAATAAAAAAGATCATATCATACTATAAATATTTCCACAATAAAGTAATCGAAAACAGGAATTTTTGTGAGCGAATAATATGGGCAGTGTCATATCTAATTTTCTTTAAATTTCAAAAACCCCCCAAATTTAATTTCTGTGTACAGCCCTAATATATGTGTATAACATACAAGCAGCTAATTGCTCTTACACAACATCACTATTTATAGATACACAGCGTTTCTTTTTAATTATGACTTTATTGACAGATATTATTTCTGCCAGTTTACGTATTTATAAATTATCATTTCCTTTAAAATAATCTTCAATAATTAATAATAAAATAATATTCAATCTTTAAGGATAATTATTTTTTTAAATAATTTTGTTTTAAGAAACAAAATAAAATACCAATCACTAATTAATATAAAATCTTAGGTTCAAAAAAAAAACGGTAGCACAGGGGGGTCGCGGCAAAGTGGTGACGTGGCATAGATGGATCAAGTATAATGATATCTGACAGTGATTAAAATCACTATAATAAGAAACGCTTCGATGCAAATCTTTAGATAGTGTTTAATTTTAAAAAATTGGTGGATTATTCCAAAAGCTACATGATCTGCTAGTTCCTTATTAATATCCTGATTAAGATAAAGTATGTCGAATGAAATAGGGATTATTAAAAAATATTATTTCACATAAAAAAATTGTGTTGATCCATACACTTTTCAAAAAGTTTTAGCATAATAAAGTTAAAAATATAAAATACAAAATCGAGAATTTTAATACTAAAATAGCATACGGTAGCCATTTTCACCATGAAGACAAAATAAAGTCCGAAATTTTTTTTTTTCCATAATAAAGTATATTACATTAGCTTTACTTTAAGATATATATAAAAGTGTCAGTATTTCCGGAACACTTTCAAAAGTTAAGTTGAAAAAGTTGTCATTTTGAATCTCCCCCGTGGGCTGGTAAAGGGTTAAATTAATTAAAAAAAAAGAAAACGGTAACACAGTGAAGTCGTGGTACAGTATGAACGTGGCATAGTTGGGAAAAATATTGATGATATCTGACATTGAACAAAATCACTATCATAAGAAATGCTTCGATGCAAACCTGTAGATAGTGTTTAATTTAAAAAAAAAACCCCAGCAGAAGGGGGTCGCGGTACAGTGGTGACATGGCATAGTTGGATCAAGTATAATGATATCTGACAGTGATTAAAATCACTATCAAAAAAAAACGCTTCGATGCAAATCTTTAGATAGTGTTTAATTTTAAAAAATTGGTGGATTATTCCAAAAGCT